GATTAAAAATAAGAAAAGGGCATTTAAAGCATTTAAATCGGACAAATCAGATGCTTCTTATAAAAGAGATAAGGAAGCAAATAACGCGTGCAAAAAGGCAATTAGATATGCTAAACTTCAAAATGATAAAATGATAGCTAAAGAGAGCAAAACTAACCCCAAAGCATTTTTTTAAGTACATAAATTCTAAAAAACCCAAAAATGAAAGTGTAGGTACAATAAAAACTGAAACGGGTGTGTTAGTTAATGAAGACCAGGAAAAGGCAGGAATTTTAAATAACTATTTCTCCTCTGTATATATTAAGCAAGAACCCATGGCAATAGATGTGTAAATGATTGCTACTAAAAACTTGCAGAATAATTGTAATTGGTTAACCCAAGACAAGGTGCTGCAGCAACTAAAGAAAGTTAATATAAACAAAGCTCCAGGGCCTGACGGTATCCATCCACGAGTACTAAAGGAACTAAGTGTAGAAATAAGTGAACCTCTGTGTTTAATCTTTCAAGATTCTTTTCTTTCAGGAAGTGTTCCGGAGGATTGGAGGAAGACAGATGTGGTTCCTATGTTAAAAAAGGGTTCAAAATCCTTGCCTGGAAATTATAGACCTGTGAGCTTAACTTCTGTGGCTGGGAAAATATTTGAAAGGGATAAAATTCAAGAATTCCTTGAGAAGAATATGTTAGCAACAAAAATCAGCACGGTTTTATGAAGCACAGGTCATGTCAAACTAACTTGATTGCGTTCTACGAAGAAGTAAGTAGAAGTATAGATTAGGGTGTTGCAGTGGATGTGATCTATTTGGATTTTGCCAAGGCATTTGATACAGTTTCACACAGTAGATTAGTGTTCAAACTCAAGGAAATCGGTCTAGATGAAAATGCTTGTTCTTGGGTAGAACATTGGCTTAAAAACAGAGTACAAAGAGTTGTCATTAATGGTACATTTTCAAGCTGGACAGAAGTGGCAAGTGGTGTACCTCATGGGTCTGTTCTGAGACCCCTTCTATTTAACATGTTTATTAATGATCTTGAAGACAGCATTGAAAGTTATGTTTCAGTGTTTGCAGATGACACAAAACTCTGTAAGATAATACAATGTGAGCAAGATATTACTTTGCTGCAGAGGGATTTAGACTGGGGGACCAGGCACTCAAATGGCAGATGAAATTTAATGTTGAAAAATGCAAAGTTATGCACTTCGGCGTACAGAATACACAAGCAACATATACCCTTAATGGAAGCGAATTAGGGATAACAACACACGAAAAGGACTTGGGAATTGTTATAGACAACAAACTATGCAAAAATATGCAATGTCAATCAGCAGTGGCCAAGGCCAGTAAGGTATTGTCATGCATGAAAAAGGGGATTCATTCTCGGGACGAGAATATAATTTTGCCTCTTTATAAATCACTGGTAAGACCACATATTGAATATGCTGTGCAATTTTGGGCACCTGTTCTAAAGAAGGATATCATGGCACTAGAAAAAGTGCAGAGTCGGACTACAAAATTAATAAAAGAAATGGAACATATCAGCTATGAAGAAAGGTTAACACATTTAAACCTATTTAGTTTAGAAAAACGTTGCCTGAGAGGGGATACGATAACATTATACAAATATATTCGGGACCAATACAAACCATTGTGTGGAAATCTATTCACAAACCGGACTTTACATAGGACACGAGGTCATGCGTTTAGACTGAAAGAAAGAAGATTAAGGATGTGGAATTCTCTGCCTGAAGAAGTGGTTTTATCAGAGTCCATACAGATGTTCAAACAGCTACTAGATGCATACTTGCAAAAACAATATTCAAGGATATAATCTTACAATGTAGTGTAATAACTGTTTGATCCAAGGATAAATCTGACTGCCATTCTGGGGTCAAGAAGGAATTTTTTTCCTAGCTTGTTGCAAAATTGTGCTTCAAACTGGGGTTTTTGCCTTCTTTTGGATCACCAGCAAAAAAAGAATGTGAGGAAGGCTGAACTTGATGGACACAAGTCTCTTTTCAGCTATGTAACTATGTAACTATATCTACAACAGGTCACCCTATTTACAGAGGGACAAACAAGTCTCTTTCGACAAGACGTATAACATGTCTAGAGAAATGGATAATAGAAGGCCATATGAATACAGGAATAGACCATACATACGCAAATATAATGGAACACATACACAGGCATTAGGAACTAGTGAGACCCGAAGACCCACTAGGAGGGAAAATAGACACACCCCTACCAAACGAAATGATGTTGTACACACTTCAGACAATATCCTCCGTACTCCCTACATAATAGATTTGCACATTTGTCACATTCACCCAGAAGGGAGGATTTTTGGAATACACAAACCAAAGGGAGGCACAAATTAACCCCCACAACACCACGGTCACCCAACAAGATGGAGAGGAGCATAGAAGAAGAAGAGGTGGAGGAGGACTACACACACAAAAAAGAAATGAGAGAAAGATTCTAAAAAAATCACAATGGTATATTTAATCTGACGACCAGACAATTGTCTGCCCCTCAGATATCCTTGCTTTAAAAAGGTTTGAAATTTGCACCTACCAAAACATTAAACAGATTTGACACATATATTGATCTTAATAAATGTACAAGAAAGATGAGTTTGAAAAAATACTTTTTTAAAAATCCGATTTTAAGACCAGAAACTAACCCAGATTTAGAATTTAAACACACTACTTTAAAAAATCCCTCTCATTTTTTCCCTAAACAATACATCTCAGAGGAGATGACAACTTTCGAAAGGATGGTAATGCAAGATGTGAATAAAATAAGACGACCATACGCTGGTTATTAAACCGGCAGATAGGGGGTGGGGGGGGGGAGAGTATTGTACTCTTGGAGAAAGAATCTTATTTGGAAGAATCCGTTAGACTATTTGGGGACAATTGTGCCTATACCAACAAATGAGATTAAGACAAATTATAACCAGTTAATACACAAAGGCAAAATGGAGGACATCCTCAACAAAAAAAGAATCAGAGTTTCTCAACATACAATACCCAAAAAAAACAATATTCTATTATCTCCCTAAGATACATTAAAAAAAAATAGATAAACCACCAGGTCGCCCTATAATTTCTGGAATTGGCTCTACAGGGAGTGCAGAATTATTAGGCAAATGAGTATTTTGACCACATCATCCACTTTATGCATGTTGTCTTACTCCAAGCTGTATAGGCTCGAAAGCCTACTACCAATTAAGCATATTAGGTGATGTGCATCTCTGTAATGAGAAGGGGTGTGGTCTAATGACATCAACACCCTATATCAGGTGTGCATAATTATTAGGCAACTTCCTTTCCTTTGGCAAAATGGGTCAAAAGAAGGACTTGACAGGCTCAGAAAAGTCAAAAATAGTGAGATATCTTGCAGAGGGATGCAGCACTCTTAAAATTGCAAAGCTTCTGAAGCGTGATCATCGAACAATCAAGCGTTTCATTCAAAATAGTCAACAGGGTCGCAAGAAGCGTGTGGAAAAACCAAGGCGCAAAATAACTGCCCATGAACTGAGAAAAGTCAAGCGTGCAGCTGCCACGATGCCACTTGCCACCAGTTTGGCCATATTTCAGAGCTGCAACATCACTGGAGTGCCCAAAAGCACAAGGTGTGCAATACTCAGAGACATGGCCAAGGTAAGAAAGGCTGAAAGACGACCACCACTGAACAAGACACACAAGCTGAAACGTCAAGACTGGGCCAAGAAATATCTCAAGACTGATTTTTCTAAGGTTTTATGGACTGATGAAATGAGAGTGAGTCTTGATGGGCCAGATGGATGGGCCCGTGGCTGGATTGGTAAAGGGCAGAGAGCTCCAGTCCGACTCAGACGCCAGCAAGGTGGAGGTGGAGTACTGGTTTGGGCTGGTATCATCAAAGATGAGCTTGTGGGGCCTTTTCGGGTTGAGGATGGAGTCAAGCTCAACTCCCAGTCCTACTGCCAGTTCCTGGAAGACACCTTCTTCAAGCAGTGGTACAGGAAGAAGTCTGCATCCTTCAAGAAAAACATGATTTTCATGCAGGACAATGCTCCATCACACGCGTCCAAGTACTCCACAGCGTGGCTGGCAAGAAAGGGTATAAAAGAAGAAAATCTAATGACATGGCCTCCTTGTTCACCTGATCTGAACCCCATTGAGAACCTGTGGTCCATCATCAAATGTGAGATTTACAAGGAGGGAAAACAGTACACCTCTCTGAACAGTGTCTGGGAGGCTGTGGTTGCTGCTGCACGCAATGTTGATGGTGAACAGATCAAAACACTGACAGAATCCATGGATGGCAGGCTTTTGAGTGTCCTTGCAAAGAAAGGTGGCTATATTGGTCACTGATTTGTTTTGTTTTGTTTTTGAATGTCAGAAATGTATATTTGTGAATGTTGAGATGTTATATTGGTTTCACTGGTAATAATAAATAATTGAAATGGGTATATATTTGTTTTTTGTTAAGTTGCCTAATAATTATGCACAGTAATAGTCACCTGCACACACAGATATCCCCCTAACATAGCTATAACTAAAAACAAACTAAAAACTACTTCCAAAAATATTCAGCTTTGATATTAATGAGTTTTTTGGGTTCATTGAGAACATGGTTGTTGTTCAATAATAAAATTAATCCTCAAAAATACAACTTGCCTAATAATTCTGCACTCCCTGTATATCCAGCAGTTTGTCTCAATATATCGACAACTGCTTACAGCCAGTAGTACAGAGCTGACCAAGTTATCTAAAGGATACCTTGAACATACTACAGATTCTAAAAAGATATCCAATGGGAAAATAACTATCTTCTGGTCACAGCCGATGTCAGCTTTTTATATACCATCATTGCACATGACAGAGGCTGTGAAGCAACCAGACATTTTTAGAAACATTGGATATATTTCCATCTACACAAGTAGACTTTATACTAGAAGGGATTCGTTGGATATTAACCAACAATTATTTCTGGTACAATGACCAGTTTTATCTACAATTGTTTGGTACGGCGATGGGCACCAGATTCACACTCAGTTATGCTAATCAGTTAATGTCCCTGTGGGACCAGAGACATATTTTTGAACAACATGAATGGGATGCAAATCTGGTGACCTATTGCCGATACATTGACGACTTCTTCATTTGGAATGGGGATGATCCATCACTTATACATTTTCTACAGCATCTTGACAATAATGATTGGGGCATCAGACTGACTAGCGCCTATAGCAAAGAATGTGTTAACTTTTTGGGCCTCAACATATACATAGAGGAGAATAGAATTAAAACTAGCACATTCTTCAAAAAAGTAGATGTAAATAGTTATATCCAAAGCAATAGCTGCCACTATTCTCAATGGCTTTTAAATGCCCCAAAATCCCAACTCATGAGGATCAAAAGGAATTATACAGATTATACAAGTTCTGTGAACAAGCGCAAAATATTATTGGTGATTTTAGTGATAAGGGTTATGAGAACAAACTTCTAGAGAAGGCATTTCAAGAAGTCAATACACAGGATAGAGAGACACTAATTAAATATAAAGAAAAACAACAGAACATTAATGGTGATAATGTACCGTTTATCTGTGACTTTAATTGTCAGAGTGAGCAACTAAGGAAAATATTAACTAAACACTGGACTAATTTGAAAAGTTATGAAACACTTAACCAAATTATATACATGGGTGTCCCTAACCTGAAGTGCAATCTTACTCAAAACTACTCTTCCTTGAATAAAATTAAAAGTAATCCATTTAATGAATCTGGGGGATTCTATGGATGCGGGATATGTGGAGCCTGTAAGAACACGAGAAGCTCTAAACGCAATATAAAATAATTTCAACATCCCCAAGAGAGCAATCAAAAGTTTAAAATTAGAGAAATTATTACATGTCACTCTAAATATGTAATTTACATGATAAAGTGCACATGCAATCTGACCTACGTAGGGCGTACCACTCGCCCTCTGCAGGTCAGAATACAAGAACATGTGTGAAATGTCAGGAATGGATATGTAAAACATAGTTTATCACTACACTTTAAAATCAAACACAATAGCGACCCAAGTCAAATGGTCTTTTTAAGTATCCAGAAAGTTAATTTTAAGTAGAGAGGAGATGACATTATTAAAAAAATGGGACAAAAAGAAATGAAGTGGATTTTTTATTGAAATACTATGCAACCAAATGGTTTGAACAATGACTTTGAGCTTTGCCACTTTTTACAATAATTTTTTATATATATTTATTTTATCATGTATCTCTCTTTTTATATATATATATATATATATATATATATACATACACACACATTTTATACTTTTTATTGTTTATGCTCTATCTTTCAGATGCATCCCTTATGTAGGGTTATATATTTTAATTCAGCACTATATGTGTCAAACCACAAAAAAATCTATGTAACAAGTAAAGATCTGTTGCGATTTTTGTACACATACATAGTTTATACTTCACTATTTAGGCAATAAGAATATTCATAGATAAGAATCTGTTACTCATACAGGAATCTTACCATTTACTTTGCTTATTATATGAATTTAATTATGTTTTTGTTTCTAATTCTATGTACGATTTTGATAAATAAGGGACATTTACAACTATAAGCTTACTGTGAACGAACATATTCACGGAATAATTGCCCATATACAAGATGGCCGTTTTTACTTCAAAGGGGCATGCGTGAGTATGTAATCAGACCCTTAACAGACGCCACATTCCATTTGTGACATCACTTCCAGGTCCGGAGCTCCCAAAATTTTGGCTGACAGCTGTAAGAAACACCCCCCCACACCATCCATATTGTGATTGGCCGCCAGGGGAATAGGACGACCAATCAGAGTGGGAACACAGGAATTTAAGCACAGCCCTTCCAGGAAGCAAAATCATCCGACTGAAAAAGCCAACTGGTGAAACACATCTCAGAGAAGGAAGATCACTATATTGATTTCACTGAGATTGGTATTTTATTCATTGTAGTTTTTTATATTTCCTTTGTAATATACAATAAATTGCCATTTTACTAATACCTATTCAGTGGACCTTCAACTGCTTCCTGCATCTATACACAAGAAGGGTAGTGCCTCCCTTAAAGGTACAGATGCTTTAATACACAGAGGCTAGTATAACTGGCTCTATAAAAGGTGAGCAAATCTATGCACTGTCACTTTGACCATTACTCCATCCAAACATATTTGCACTAGGATATTTTGTTCCCTTTTTGTCGCCATACATTTGAAAATCTGTGAGCTGTGAATCTGGAGAGGGTCTGGTATAACCATATATACCCAGCTGTATAGATTTGAGCCGATCCCCAGGCTCTATACTATGTGAGTTGGATATACATCTCTTCTGCACTATATCCAGATTCCACTGGCATATTCTATGGATGCGGGATATGTGGAGCACCATTATGTGTTTAATTCTTTTATTTTAGACAATACTGTATCTTATATCCCCACAAGTGGTATAAGTGTCACTTGAACTCCCCAACACTAAAAGGGGTAAGATATCTTTTATGTATTTATTTTTTAGTGCTCCACTGAGTGATTCTTGTTGTGGTGGTGTGGTCCACCAAGTTCACCTTCTTTTTGACATACCTATTTGTGTGGGACTGGGATATCTGCATGTGTGTTGAGCTGCTTTATATATATGGTTTATATTTACTATTAAGCGCCTGTTTTTTACTGCACAGAGCACTTTTTTCTTGTACTATATGGTTGGGTCTGCCCATGGTTCAATTGAGATGACCTTTGTAACGGACCGTTTTGCACAAAAGGGGTAAAAACCGTTTAGACGATAATCCCCCTTTCAGAGACAGGCACAGCTACTGAATAATCACCAAAACTCACGAACCGCCAATAAGTGAATGCTCCAAACTCCCGAACGGCATACAAGGGAATAAGGTAGCACTTCAAATAAGCGAACAGGAACCATACGAATAGCTGCTAGCAGGCGAACAGGAAAAGCTTCCAAGCGGCTTACACTCCTGGCAATCAGTCCTTAGCAGCATACAGTAAATCCCCCCAAGAACGAGACAAGGCTCCGTGTTGAGGGTCAAGCAGTGGTCTGAGGTGCTGGCACACCCAGCCTGGTTTTATTACAGTCTTGCAAATACAGGACCGCCCACAGGGAGGTATAAAACAACCAATCACATCACAGTTACATCCCACATATTCCCTCCCCTTATCCTGAGAGGAAACTCAATTATACATACAGTTAAAACATACTTTCTACCCAACTTTCATAACTCCAAAACCATACATCACATTCACATAAAATTACATATTCTCAATCAATCCATTCAGGGGAACAACATATTCAAAAATGGCACAAATCAGACAAGGGGTTCAAAAGTTAGTAAAAAGTCCTTTGTGACTAAATGAAGCATGGCTTTCTGGCCCAAACCAGTTTCAGAGTCTTCTATCCTGGAGATAAGTAATTCAATTATCTCCCAGGACAGACACAAGACTCCATTAAGCACATGGTTGCAAAGAGACACAAAACACTTTAAAATACATAAAGTCACATTTATTACATAAAACACAGACATGTAACATATCCCCAGATAGCTCAGGTCCGAGCGCACATTATTAAGTGAATGGCGCTCAGACCACACGAATACAGTTTAATCGCCATGGAGCTAAAGTCTTTACAGTCAGTTTCATACGAATGGGCTCCATGGGATTCCTATCTGGGGTATAACACATTCAAACAAATCTACCGAACCCCAGGCAGAAAAGCACGAATGAAGCTTTTCTGCAGGTAAAAAAAAAGATGTCTTTTAAAAGGGGGCCATAGTCCAGGGGCAGCAGGCGGGCAACCAGGCTTCTCCAATGCAATGTGGCGAGATTGGTCTCGTCACATCTCTCCCCCTTTTCCAAACAGACTAACAGGGTATCTGACCTCCTGCCGGTCAGTGCCCTTGTTAGTCCAGCAGCCCACCCACAAAACATAATCAACAGCACAGCCCACCCACAATAAATGGTTACTACACCTGGGTAAAGGAGAAGCTTGTCCATGTCCAGGTGCCTCACCACGGCTGTGCTGGGTACGGGTACGCTGACTGGGTGGGTTGCTGCGTGGGCAGAGACCAGCGGCACTCTGCCCTGTTGCCAGCGCTACTGGGAGGGTAGCCTGGTTGAAGCCTGGTTGTTGGAGGAGGAGACCGACTGTCTCCCCTTTAACTACACTGCTCTGCTGCTGGAGACCGACTGTCTCCCCTTTAGACACACAGCTCTGCTGCTGGAGACCGACTGTCTCCCCTTTAGATACACCGCTCTGCTGCTGGAGACCGACTGTCTCCCCTTTTGTTGCACAGCTCTGCTGCCGGAGGGGGAGACCGACTGTCTCCCCTTTGGATACTCTAAGCTGTCGCTGGGGAGAGGGGGTAACAGGCTCCTCTCCCGATAGAACACTCTGCCGCTGGGGAAAGGAGACTGAGCTCTCTATTCCCTGCCCATTAATGATCCGCCGCTGGGGAGAGGTGGTAGTAAGCTCCTCTCCCATACATACTTTCATCCTCTGTGGAGGGAGACCGACTGTCTCCGCTCCCAATACAGTTTCCTGCTGCTGGGGAAAGGAGACTGGGCTCTCTATTCCCGGTAGGACACTCTGCCGCTGGGGAATGGAGACTGTGCTCCCAATTCCCTGCTGTATCTCCCGCTGGGGAATGGAGACTGGGCTCCCAATTCCCGGCACATCACTCGGCCGCTGGGGAATGGAGTCTGGGCTCCCAATTCCCAAAAAATCACGCTGCTGCTGGGGGGCAGGAACAACTACCTCTGCCCCCTGTAGCTCAGCCTGCCGCTGGGGAGGGAGGACGCTGCTCTCCTCTCCCTGCACTTCACACTGCCTTCCCGGCATATCACTCTGCTGCTGGGGGGCAGGAACAACTACCTCTGCCCCCTGTAACTCAGCCTGCCGCTGGGGAGGGAGGACGCTGCTCTCCTCTCCCTGCACTTTACACTGCCTTCCCGGCATATCACTCTGCTGCTGGAGGGCAGGAACAACTACCTCTGCCCCCTGTAACTCAGCCTGCCGCTGGGGAGGGAGGACGCTGCTCTCCTCTCCCTGCACTTTACACTGCCGCTGGGGAATGGAGACTGGGCTCCCAATTCCCGGCATATCACACTGCCGCTGGGGAATGCAGACTGGGCTCCCAATTCCCTGCATATCACACTGCCGCTGGGGAATGGAGACTGGGCTCCCAAT